GAACCTGCTTCATGTATTCTATGTTTTCTCTATCTTCTCCATCAAACAATTCTCCCCTTTTTTTCTGTTCTTCCATTCCACCATCTGTTTTTTCTTGGGCAGTGCTTAGCATTTCTCTAACTATTCTGCTTATGTCTTGCTTCAGGTCATTAATAACTTCATTCCTGAACTCATCTATGTGGCTCTGGAGATAGGGCTTTATATCTATTGGTGCCGTGTTTGCTATGTGTGTTTCTCAGGATTGGGGGCCAAGGACACTTTCTTGTTGCTCCCTCTTCCCACATTCTTTGTTCCCTATATTTAAGCATGTATAGGAGGCCCAGCTTCCTCCCCTGTCGGCCACAGTCTGTTTGAATTGCACAGGCTAGGTGTTCCCACCCACAGCAGTGTACTAGGGAGACACAGACCTGGGCATCCTCTGCTGGGCCCACCCCTCCAGGTCAACCTACCCCAAGGCTTCACCTCTAGGGTGCACCTTCAGGGACTGGGACCTGAGTTGGGCTAGCCTATTGGGTCTCAGCCAGCGGCATCTCACAGGCCAGGCACTCCCCACCAATCCCGCTTGAGAGGGGGATATGTGACTGAAGTCACTGCAGCTTCTCATTCCAGGAAGACTTCCCGGTCCGAGTATGTCCTCCACTGAAGCTTCCTTCTCTATGTAAGGGTCCGATTCGCTCACTCACCGCAGGTCGTACAGGGCACCCAGCCAGTCCTGCTCCCAACTCCTTTCAATGCTTCCCACTCTCCAAGCTTTTGCACCTCTCTCCCTGCTGTGCCAACTGGGATGCAACAGCAGCTGCAGGTAATTCAAATCGCAGTTTCCAGTGGCGCGGCTCCAGCTTCCGTGCTGAGACCTTATCTGTGCCTGCTGTCTCACCTGGATTGCGTTTCCAGATGGTTTCTCTTAATTTAGTTCATTCCTGGGTCAGCAAAGAATATCCCCCTTGCCTGGGACTTCCTGTCCAGCACCATTCCTAGATTTCAAGTGCGATTTCTCCAAGAGCCTCAGAGACTGCTGCTATCTAACCACCATGTTCTTCCAGAAATCCCCAGTTTTAGCAATTCTTTATGCATTGTTTTGCAGACATAGTGCTGGAGTATTTGAATTTAGTGAAAACTGCACTATCATCTGGAGATGAGCATCTACATGATCCTATAGATAGAGCCATGGTTGTTTTCTCTTCATGATGCTAATGATCTGGACTGTTACATGTAATTGATCAGTTACTGATACTATATTTAGGCAACTGCATCTTTCTGAGTTTGTATTAGCATCTCCCCTACTCAGTGTCATTACTTTTCCAATTCACACATTAAGACATTATTAATGGTTTGAGGAATTTTTGAGATATTTTAGATTTTTAATCTCATTAGAGAAGACTGTTTATTCCTCATAAGAAAAACAAAGTTTGAAGAGCCTTTCCAAACTTGAGAGAGACAACTCAGAGAGAGACAACTCCCTGAGAGATACAACTCAGATGCTGGAATAAAACATCCTGGAGAGGTCCAGACAGACAGAGATGGATCCTCTCAACCCAGGAAGAAACTAAAGGGAAAAGAGCTGGTCAAACATGCAGTCCTGGGGCTACAAGTGGAGCAGCTAAGACTAGCAGCCACAGTCCTCTCACCAGAGTGGCCCGAACTCACACCGCCTTAACTTGCCAGAGCCATCCAAACCCACACTGCCATGACTTGCTGGAGCCACCATTGTACTGAAGTCAGAGGTTGGTGAGCCCAGTGGAGAATGGAGCTGGTGAGGGACCTGCATTAACCCATAGTGAGTTCTGGGAATAAGACCCTCCCATGGAAAAGGGGCAACCAACTGGATAACATGTTGGAATCAGGCAGGATGGGACTGAACTAGGAATAGCAGTGACTTCAGTTGATTACTCCTTTCCAAGAGCAGATTGGCGGGATCTGCTTGGCCTGGGTCACACCACTGGTCAGGACCCAATAGGTTATCCCAAACCAATTCTGTATGTGTAGCACACACTAATGCAGTGAAGGCCCCTGAAAGTTGAGTGTCCTAGAGGGAAGGGCCAGCATACACCACCCCAGTTGCACCTCAATGACCAACAGCAAATTGGAGGGGGAGAATGCCCTAGTCAGCCTGCTTCAGAAGAAACATAGCTGACAAGGAAAGGGGCTGGGATCTCCACTATACACCCGTATGGGAGAAACCAAAATCTAAACAAGAGAAAGAAATAAGAAAAAGTCCCCAGACCCCAACCTGAGAATACTGATCCAGGAGAGGTAAACACAAAAGAGATTGAGGGCAGCAAACATACAAGAGCAGACACGGCATCAGTGGACATAAAGAGATATATTTGGGACCTCATAGATAAGCTAAAAACGGAAATATTAATTCAAGTAAAGCAATACATAAGTATATTAATAAAAGAAATGTTAAGCACCTTTCAAGAAGACACAGATGGAAGAATGGAGGAATACAAAAAAGAAGAGAAATGTTTGATGAAGAATATAAAGAAAACCTAGAATATATGAAGCAGATTCAAAGAATAATCAGGAAATTAAAAACTCAATTGAAATCTGGCAAAACTTCTAGAAAGAAACTAAGGATAGACTATAAAAACTTGAAGACAGGTTTGCAACACATGATCATAAAAGGAAAGATCTCTTAAAAATAACAAGGAAACAGGCAGTAACAATACAAAGGCTAGAAGATAAAAGTATCTGTAACTTAAAAATAAAAAACATAAGTGAAGAAGCAGGAGTTAAAACAAAAGAAATACAAAGGCTATTCATAGAAATAGTTGAGGAAAACTTCCCAAGCATAGGAAAAGGAAATGGTATTCAGATGTATGAAGCATACAAAACTCCAGCCAGCTTCAATCGAAATATAACTAGACCCAGACATATAATAATCAAGATCTCAGAAATTCAATATAAGAACAGAATATTAAAAGCCATCAGATAAAAGAAACAATCACCTATAAAGAAAACCCATCAAAATCATGGCAGACTTCTCAACACTGACCATCAAATCAAGAAGACCTTGGAGTGAAGTATTCCAAGCCCTGAAAGAAAATAACCTCCAGCCCAGATTGATGTACCCTGAAAAGCTGTCTCCAGAAATTGATGGAGAAATAAGATGCTTCCATGACCAAGAGTACCTGGAGGAATTTGTGACCACCAATCTAACCCTACAGAGAATACTGAAGGACATTCTAGAGAGAGATTTTTAAAATACCAGGATTTGAGGAACAGTAGCAGAGAGGCTTTTGTAGGTAAAGGAATACAACTTGGGATCAAGTCTAGGAGTAAGAAGATCTGGAACCACTTAAGTAAATAGCAGGTTCCCTCCCCCCATTATATAAACTGAGGGAGTTGGTGGGACCCAAAATGTGCAGCACCATGTGGGAGTGAAAAGGGAGGAATAGTCTTTAAAAAGAAATCAGAGGATATTGTTAACAGTGTATCAGTGTTTAAAATGCACATTGCTCATAATGCTCTGTTTAGATGGGTTATTGCTCCAGTTGGTCTACTTGTACTACATCTGAGGACACAGACAGCTATCCTGAAAATAGCAGGATACAGTATGAGAATCATCCTTAATTTCTTATTAACATAATCTGAAGCCCGGTATAACGTATACTGTTTTATCATGATTGATCTTAGTTGAATCTGGTTTGTTAGATTGCTGTTTTGTATTGATAGATTTTATTAAAATCTGTTATGATTAATAGTATCCAGTCTGAGAGTATAGGCAAATGCACTGAAGATTACAGGATTCACTAGGATACCCACTCTGATTTGATTATTACCCGCTTTTGAAGTTTTACAATGTCTACAATGTTTTGTTTCTATTAATATTGTTATGTACTGCTGTATTCAATTATACAATGCCTGAGTATATGGACAATTCTATTGAAGATAACAAGAGAAATCACAGTAGCCATTGTGGATCACCTTGTACTGTGGTTTTATATGACTTTTTCATTTCATGTTTTTATAGGTATTTGTTTTGTTTTGTCTTCTATGCTTTGTTTTTCCCTCTAATACAGAAAGGATAGAAATACATGTAGAGACCCATTCAAGTGTAGACTCTATAAATGGTTTATGAGAACTGAGTATATAGTGCATGATGAAAAGAACAACTATTTTGAAGAAAAAGAGACACAACAGTACCCAGTGCCGATTCCATAGTGTCATGACGTGTAATCCAGCAATACTATTATTCTTTGTTCAGAGAGATTTTAGCCTGTTTTGTTTTGTATAATTTCAACATACATGAAGATATGGACAGCTGTTTTGAAGAGACACTATGACAGCCATTGTTGAATTCCCTTTTGTCTGGTCTTGAAGACCTAAAATGCTTTCCTTATCCTGTTCATATCTGTTCTAAACTATGTTGTTTCATGTGAATTCTCTATATATGAAGATATGAAAAACTATTCAGAAGAAAACAAGAGACAATAATGATAGGTAGTCAAGATCTCTGATTGTCTTGCTTTGAAATTTACACTCATATTGCTTTCCTATGTTCTGTTTTGTTCTGGTTTGATGTGTTTAATTTTACCCTCTTTAAAACTAAAAAAAAAAGTTTTACACAAATATGCTTAGATTATCAAGGGAGTCATTGTTCATGATTATGATTTCACAAGTATACAATGCATAGTGTCCAGAAATAGGTCTTCACCTAGCCCCACATAAGGTGGCCTCATTGTAGGATCATTCTCACAGTTATCCAGTTATGTAATGTGAATCTGAAATGTTTCCAAAGGCTATGAGTTAAAGATTATTTCCCAGCATTTGGTGTTTGAAAAATTGTGAAGTAGAGGATGATCAAATCAGGCACTTTTCTACTGCTTTCTCAAACAGCAGAGAATCTTGTGCCAACACAGTAGTCTGTCCCCAACCCACCATTTACATCAACATGTGAACTCTTCCAGCCTCAGATAAGGGTTGCTGATAGCTCTAAGGCCCGCACATTGATGAGCTTACAGAAGCAAAATTGATGGCTTTGTGAAGGGTAAAAGATGCTTGGTCAGAGAGATGGCATGAACCCTTATAGCTGTACAACAGGACAGAAAGCTCAGCTGGAGCCCTATAGAAGGTGAGCACAGTCATGGGGGATTGTTGAATAGGAAATCAAGGTGAGATCAAGAGAATCCTTTTGGAAGATTAAAATTGGTAGAATAGATACAGACAGCAAAATATAGTCTCTCTACAACCAGGAACTGAAATACCTGGAAAACAATTTGGTGAAAAGAAAGAAGTACAACACTGGGAATTGGGATGAAAATGATAGGAAAACTAGAAACTAGAGAAAAGCTTGAGAAAAGGAATTCCATGTGGAAAGAAAAACACAAAATAATCTGGAAAGCTGATCCCGGGTGAAGAGTAGGGGAGCCAGTCCTGATCACACACATTAAGCCTAGGAAGGGTTGCAGACTCAGAAAAAACTACACACATGGCCAGCAGAGCTACTTCCAAGAAAAACTCCTAGCAGGAGCAAACTGAAAAAAAAGAATGAAGTTTTATTCTGAAGGTGACTCCTCCTACAAGGTAGGCTAAATCTGTATAAGAAATACAGTGCACTGTCCAATATATTTGATAATATTTAATCAGGAGTCCTTAGGGGGAAGGTGTTAATTATTTAAGACTGAACTACAGAACAACTCCAGAACTTATTCAGTGGACACTTACTGTATGTGAAGCAATTACTGGGACCAGTTTTAGATAAATTATTTCTTTCTGAGGAAAAAACAGTATCCACTGTACTCAGGATTATTGCTTATCAAGTTGACATTACTTGATAACATGGCAACTTGAGAAGATTATGTGATATGTGGAACTGATCAGTAAACATTTTCAATCATAATAATAAAAAATCCCCCAAATCCTAATTTCAAATCATTATATCCTTAAACTATAGAGTTGTCTTTTATTACAAAGATAAGGAATACATCAGAGATAGGGAATATGTCAGAATAGAACTTAAGGCTTCACTGTAACCTCCATGAGCTACCCCTATCCTAGCCAACTTTTCTTCCTATCCCCAGATAGTTGTAGTAAATGCAGATGGATACCTGCCCATGATGCTAGTGACACAAAACCAGTTGTTTTGGTTCATTTATGGTTAACTTTTCCATTGATCATCTGGACTGCATCTCTGTCATGGACAGAAGTTGTGCTCTAAAATATGCCTTATTCAAATACTTTTTATTTCTTCTTCTTGCTTAATTGCTCTAATTGATAAAATGTTGAGTGTTGCATTGTATTTTTTTGATTTTAATGCGATTGCTTTCAATTTTTCCCATTTAATATATCGTTGGCAGTATTTCATAAATGTCTTATTATTTGAAGGTAAGGTTCTGCTAAACAAAATTTTGTCATGGTTTTTGTCATTAATGAATATTGGCTTTTGTTGAAGGATTTTTCTGTATCTATTGAAATAATCTTGTAATTTTATCCTTACATGTATTTATGTGATACATTATATTTATTGATTTACATATTTTGATCCATCCTTACATTAACAGCAATAATCATGATGTTTGATCTTTGATGATCTTATTCTATGGACAAGTTTGGGGGTGTACATTCCATTCACAATTACTGATCTCAAAGGACGAGTTCTGTAGCTTCAAATGCTTTATGGTATGGTATCTCCAATGCTGAATCTCTTTATAGTTTGAGGAACTTGAACAAATTCATTGGCTCCTTTTCTATGACATGTCATTTATTTTGGATTTGTGGTTATGCAGTAAGTGAAGTACATGACATTCCTATAATCCAGTATATATGAAACTTTTTTCATGAAAGTCTGCTACATGACTAACTTACTAATTGGGATCATTTTCAATTGACTTTAACTAGTATATTGCTTTAAGTCTAGCTTTTTGACTTTTAATATCTGGTTTATACTTTCCCAGACAGAATCGGTGCACAATCACATTGTTCAGGTTTCACAAAAGTAGAACTTGAGATAACGGTTTATATTGGTAAATTTTTTGGTGCACTCTTTGAATGTATTAATTTGGAAAAGGTTCTCAGGATTGCAAGTGTTTTAAACAAAGTTTTGGTCCTACCTAGTGACTATCTAGAGAAAAAGTCCACCATGTGCACTGATTACTAGTGTTAGTCCTACAGCAGAAAAAGTGGTAGATCATGATTCCCAATCATATTGGTTTGAAGCCATATAATGTTTTCACTCATTAATTGGAATGGTTTTAATTTGGGTTGTTCGATTTTATTGTCTGTGATAGTACGAATAGCTACTTTGAAGAAAATAATACATTATAATAGCTAGTGCTGATTTAATATCATCCTGTTTTGAAGTCCCATCAAGCTGTTGTTCATCTGTTTTCATTGGTATTAACATGTTGTATCTTATATTTTACTATATGTGATAGTATAAACAAAATCTTTATAGGAAAAGAGATAATATAGAAACCATTGTTCGTTTTCTGTTAGCTGGTTCTAAATACCCTGTAATTCTTTCATTCTCTTGAATGGCTTCACACTGTCTTGATATGTTTGATGATATAGTATATGAAGTTATACTCAAATAATTCAAGAAAAGAGACACTATGGTGACTACTATTATGTCAGCTTATCTGGTGGTTAAACACAATGATGCTTAAATTGTTTGGTTCTGACCTGTGTTGTTCTGTTACTATGTCCTCTTTTATCTCAATCTCCCCCCTTTTTAAATTAATTTATTTATTATTTTTTTAATTAAGGGAAAACTAAATTTAAAAATAGAGGGATATATTGTAGTAACTTTTTTGTTTTCCTATTAACCTGATTTGAACCCTAGTATTGCTCTCCCCACCTTGTTCTGTCTGATTTTAATATATCCTGTTTTGTTTGATAGTATCAAGTTTGAGGGTATAGGCATGATCCATCCTGTGGATTGGTGCGTGGGCCTCGCCTGGAGAGGGGACAGAGACGAAGGGCTGGGCAAGAGAAAAGAGAGATGGAGACAGGTTGAGATTCCAATCGAGTCTCATTTATTTAGGAAGTATACATGGCTTATATAGAGTCAAAGGGGACGTGGCCTTACAGGATGGGCCAGCTTGGATCTTCTCATATGCAGTGGGCCTATCAGATAAGCAGGAAGTCATACGTAGGCACATAGCTAAGCGAACATGGTGTCAACAAGAGGGGATTATGGGAGAAGTAGGCTAAAGTGGGAAGTTGCTCATGTCATGCGCACTGTAGGCAAGGAGAGGATCATGGGAAATGTAGGCTGACACACAAAATGCCCTCAGGTGGGAGGGGCAGAGCAGCAGCAGCCATTCTGAGCCACTCCCTACATAGGCAACCACTTTGAAGGCAATAAGATTTACTATGATGCCCATTATGGTTTGATTATTATCTTCTTTGAAGTCCAGTAAGGTCTCCAGTGTAGGTTTTATTGGTCTTGTTCTGTACTGTTTTGTTCAATTCTATTATAACTGGTGATATAGGCATCTCTTTTTAAGATAGCAAGAGACATAATGGTAGCCATTTTTGATCACCTGGTATTCTATTTTTGCATCATGTACTATGTCCATCCTTCTGTTCTAACTGACTCTGTTTTGTTTTGTCACATTTGGTTTTATTCTCTTCAAAAAAAAGTAATAAGAACTGTGGGAGTAATAAAACCCAAAAAGTGTAATGTTATTGTAAAAAACAGAGGAAAAGAAAGTGGTCTAAAGGATATAACTGCATTTATATTTAAGTGTGTAGGTTAGAAAACCATATTACTGAGCTTTGGTTGGATCATTGAACAGAACTGTCTGCAATCTCACTGTATGAATGTCCACTTTGTATGCTTTAATTTTGTAATTTTGGACAACTGTTTCTAAGATGACAATATGTAATCTATTAACTAGTGATTTCTTACTGTATTTTTTCTTAAAATTCTTTATTACTTGTACCCTTTTACTGCTTTTTTTTAAAAGAAATAAATCAGACACAAAGTTTGCAAAAAAAGAAACAATTAGTAGGACAATTTGCTGGTGAAATACATTTTTTCTGAGGCAGTTACATCATACACCGTATTCTGGGACATCATCAATAAATTGGCTTTATGAGATATTCTTTCAGTATTGTGAATAATGTCTTTTAGCAACAGCAAGTAAAAACAACAAAACAACACCCAGAATAAAGGCAAATTTATTTATTTTGACAAGCATTGAGCAGAACCATTATCAGCATGTCAGGTCCTGATCTCTGGTGATCTAGGGCTTATATGAATAAGCAAGCAGGACATACAGAGGCAGAATGGTTTTTCAGCTGGGGATTAGTTTATAAAATATGCATCACAGTGACCAGCCATTTATAGGAGAGTGAAGCAACAAGAACTGGAACAGGAACTATGTCACGGGCAACTAAGAAACTCAAGTATACCTCCTGGGACAGCACTCCCTGCTACATTTTCAGTGGTCCATTCTTTTAAGGAAATAAAGGGTAGCTTATATTTAAAATTGAATAATTGGCTGTAATAGAGTGGCTTTCCATGTTTGCATATTTCTGATGAGATTTCCTACATGATTGAAACACTCTACCTTCTTACTATACTTTTATTGTAAAATATCCTTCTCAAATCATTTTAATATTTTTCTGACGTTTCCAATGTAAAATGGCATTTACCTAATTTCTGTTTCACTTATTGTGAATTTCAGACTCATGTCCCATATTATGAACAAAATATTTTTTCTCATGAGCTGTACATTTTACCTATTTCCTTTAAGCTGAATGTTTTATAACTTATTAATAATATTTCTATATGATTGAAGTGGATTTTTAATTGAAGCAGATGTTTTGGAGCTTTTGTGTAGGGGTATACTTTATTTTAAAGGGTGTGTCTTTTGTGTGTGCTTCTAGCATTTAGTTTGTGAATTATTTTAATATTATTCAGGATTTTATCTCATGTCTATGATAAATAGATCTTAATAACCAAATATCTAGTTTTCTCAATTTAAAAAATTGTGGTCTTATGATTAGTAACTGAGATATAAAACACCTGAAATGGGAAAAATTCAAATCAGCAACAACATGAGACTGTCTATTCTTTTTACCCTTGTTAAAACACTCTTGAAACTTTTGCCATCAGAATCAGGTAAAAGAAAGAAATAAAAGAAATCTATATAAGAAATGAATTCAAACTATCTTTTTTGCAGATGACATGATTTTTTAACATAGAAGTTCCAAAAATCTCCACTAATAGAATCTTAGAAATCATGAAAAAGCAGAAAATAACAGGATATCATGTTAGCTCACAAAATCAGCCACATTTCTGTACATCAACAATGAACACACTGAGAAAGAAATCAGGAAGGTAATTCCATTCACAGAAGCTTGAAAATGCTAATAAAAAGAAATTAACCAATCAAAAAAGAAAGCCATCTATAATGAAAACTATAGTAATCAAAAAAATTAAAGAGTATATAAGAAGTAGCAAAACATTTTTCCTTGATAGGCAGAAATAATATTTTCAGAATAAATATTTTCACTATACATAGATTTAATGCAATTCCAATAAATAAACCAACACTATCCGTTAGTGAATAAGACAATCTTGCAATTTATATGGAAACCAAAGTAACCCCATATATATAAATCAAGCCTGAGCAACAACCACAAAGCAGGAAGCACTACAACTCCACATTTCAGATAATAAACCAAAACTACAATGATAAAAATGTGATATGGCACTAAAATAGAAATACTGCATAAACAGAATCAAGAATGCAGGGGATAACCCCATGTAGCTTTAACCATTTTATCTTAGACTTGGGACCTAAACCTAATGTTAAAGAAAATATACCTTGTTTAATAAATGGAGCTGGGGAAGCTGATTAACTCATGTACAGAAAAATTAATCTATCCTCATGCTACTCACAGTAAAATGAAAAATATATCAGATTCCTACATCAAAAAGCCAAAACATTGAATATTTAGGAAGACTGAAATAAGTAAAACTCTTGAAGTCATTGTTAAAAACAAACACTTTCTGAGCAGAAGTCTAACCACACAATAAATAATACCAAGTACAATAAATGAAACTATATCAGGCATAATGATTCTGCACACTGGAGGAAATAACCGTGAGTGTGAAGGGACAATTTTTGGAGTAGGAAATTTTTTTCTAGATAATCTTTGGGTAGAGGAGAAACCTCTAGGTTATGTAAAGTCTAAAGACCAGACACCGAAATATAAAAGACTTAATAAAAATGGGCAATGGATATGTACAGGCACTTCTCAAAAGAAGTATTACAAGTATTCAATAAGTTAAAATCAGAATTAATTTATTTTTGGATAGAATTCATTATTTCTGGAGTAACAAACCAATAATAATGCTGGAAGTTCTGTGGGGAAAAAATGTATCCTTCACTGTTGGTTGCAATGTAGACTGGTATAGCCACTGTGGAAATCAGTGTAGAGATGCCTAAAAAACTAGGATTACTGGTCTCATTTGATCCAGGTACTCCCCTTCTTGGTATGTTCTTGAAACATTTAAAAATAGTACACCACTGCGATATATATGCACCCAGGTTTATAGCACCACAGTTTGTAATTGATGAATCTTAGAAACAGTCCAAATGCCCATCAACAAAGAAAAGGATAAAAAGATATATATTTTTTAACAATGGAGTAGTATTCCACCACAAAGAAGGATAAATGAGAGGTTTCTAAGTAAATGGATGCAACTTGAGAACATACTCTTAAGTGAAATAAATTTGACTTATGTTTGCAAATGTTGCATGGTGTCCTTGGTATGAGAAATTGAAAAAGTAAATAAATACTAAAATGTATAATATACAGTGAAATGGGGAGAAATTTTTCAAAAGGAAAGTGTAACCAGGGATGAGGTGAAGGAAAGAAAGAAAAGGAAAAAAAATAAAATAAAAAGGGTAAAATTGAAACAATGCTTTGTCAATAGGGAGAAGAGAGTTTAAAGGGAGGAGAGAAGATTGGGGGAGGGGAGGGAATCAAAATACATCATGTACAATTACAGATTCCCTATGGTGAATATCATCAGTAAGTATGTCTAATATGTACCAATAAACTTAATTTTAAAAATTAGAATTATGCTTCTAAATTATTAATTACATAAAGATTCATGTTTGTAGCTAAAGGGTGACACTGGAACTTGTTATAGAAACACATAATACGTGAAACATTTTTAGGGCTCATGAAATGTGGATGAACAGAAAAAAATGTTGAGAAAAAAGTCATGTAAACACATCCCCAAGGGTCAGAAAATTAGCCTTCCTGAATTCCTCACTTCTACAGAGAAGATCTTTAAAGATCCGCACTTCTGGGAGCAGAATGATAGTGAAATAGTTGGTGTAATGAGGAGCTCTGGATATTGACGCCCTAGGAATTGACTTGCTGGAGAAGTCAGCCTGTGGCCACTTCCCTCTGCAGCCCTGCCCCAAGCAGTAGGCAACATTTATGTTTCTTCCCAAAGATGACCTTTGTTGACCAGAAGCACGGTAACTCATTAAGCCTACATGTCCTTCTGGAGAGCACATCTCTGTTTGCAATACATAGGTGAGATATCAAACAACTGTTTTAGGCCAGTTAACAAAATCCCATACTTAATGCTTTGGAAGTAAGGTCATATTTGATTGATGTATCTAATTCATTTATTATTTATTTAACTTTAGCTGTTACATATTTTACAACATAACTATGCCAACTGAATAGTGGTATTATTGACGTTTTCTTCCTCATTTTTAGCTTGACCATCATTTCTAAAGGTAGCTTCAGCTCAGAAACATTGTCTTAGGATTTTCACTTATGATGCTAAGAATGCTTTTTTTTCTTTATTTTCCTCAGTTTTCTTGGTTAATTGATACTTTTTGAAAATGAGTAGTTCCATATATAGTGGTATGTGACAACACAAAAGTAAACAAAAAGTCATGTGAATACAAATGTTCCAAGTGGTGTTTTCTGTGCTGGATATATTTGATCTATTTGTTGCTCAACACCTCCATATTATTACCAGGTCTATATAAAGTAAGTGAAAAATGTATTTGGTGAAATCATGTAATGTTGTGGTTGGTACACATATAAAATGAAAAATGATTTCTGTCATCCAGCTAACATCTGTCACATTGGTGCTGTTGTGTAAACATGAGATCTGGGTTCACATCCTTGAAGATTTTCCTTATTCAGAAAGCAAGTGTGAAGACCTGGGTCACATTCAGCACACGTACATAAGTCAGGATTGCACTGAATGATAAATGATGCTATAGCTTTTTTCTCTCTTTGATGACAGAGACCATTGCAGTACCATGACAATCCCAATAAGATTATCTTCTAGATGACTTATAATTCTGTGTTTTCTTGTAAGTTTCTGTTTTCTGAATATAATCAAATATTCTTTTTTTCATTTTTTGAAGTCATTGTGTGTCACTTTCATTAATCTGTTTTGAAATGATATGCCACATCTCAAATTAAGCAATAGATTAGGCTGAGAAAAAATGATATAGATAAACAATACCAGCTTATTCTAATATTAATTGCCAGAGGGTATGGTATGGAGTTTGCAGAAGAGTCTTATGAACTTCAAACTCCTTTTGCTCTTTCTGCTCTTATTGCTATGATCTACTGAATAGCTTTCAAAATCATGCTGCAACAAAGCTTATAGAGATGGACATATCTGGGAAGAAGGAAGATGCTAGAGGAAAATATTAAGATCAGTAAATGATAAGCTTTGAATTATCAGTTAATAATAATAATCCTGTCCATATTGTTACCAGGTAGTGTAGGTAATCGTCTTTTGTAAGATGGAAATAATATAAGACTAAGCCCAAAGATAAAATGAAATGAAAACTTATCAAGAAAAAGAAACATATCTGTGTGCTCCACATACAGAGTCCAGAACAAAGGAGATATTTGAGTCTTATCACATCTTCAAAGCCTATCATTAGTCGTTAAATTCTTTTACAATTTCAATGGATTGGATTTTAATTACTTGTGTGAGATAATCCAGTTTTCCCAGGAAGCCTGCTGCCGTATCTTAAGAAGTATAGCTACAAGCCACATTGGTAAAGCATCCACTTTCTTTTTCACATTACTATACAGAACTATACCTTCCTGCTTGTTTCTTGCCAACTGGGTACTTCAAAGTCTTTCCAGCTCTCTGCAACAGTATCCTGAAACATTAATAGTGATTGATCTAAAGAGCTAGCTAAGGAGTCAACACAGCTGAGTTCAAATGTAGATGTGCCAAGTAGTGTTTAGCTCATAACAACAATATAACCTCACTCTACCTAAAGATTTGCTTAGGCAAGTGGGGATGATAGCAAGAAATCACATGTGTGTAATTTTACACAACCTTCTGGTGTTCAAAGGTAAGTCAAATTTAGGGAATCAACTTTTTAAAAAAACAGAATTCATAACTTGGCTCTCATCTTTGATTTGCTTAATCTGTGGATTTATACTCTGTTTTACTGCCACTACCTAGCACAAGGAATGAAACAAAATTGATGTGCAATAAAAATATGTTTCAATAAAAGGAATGGAGAAAAACAGGGTGCATGAAGATGGATGGAGGCAGCAAATATCAGAGGGAAATATTTACATTTTTATTTGAGTTCAAATTAACCATGAGAAAACTGAGTCACTGAATGCATTTGAACCCTGAATGCACTCTACATCCAGGATATATCGAGATCATTCAGAGGGTTTATTGAAGCACGCACTGCCGCCACCAGTTTATGGTGAATACATTTGGACATGGGACAAAGAACTTGTATTTTCACATGTTGCCAAATGGTGCTGCTGATGGTGTTAACATGTTATTTCTTTCCATATTTCCACCAGATGCAATGTAGAAGCCAGAAACATAACAAATGTTGCAAATTTTTTTCTTCTTGGAATAACAGATGATCCAACTCTGCATCTGCCCGTCTTCAGCCTCTTCCTGTCCATATACCTGGTCACCATCCTGGGGAACCTGCTCATCATTCTGGCCATCAGCTCTACCACCCACCTTCAAACCCCCATGTACTTCTTTCTCTCTAACCTGTCTTTCACTGATATCTGTTTAAGCACAACAACAATTCCAAAGATGCTGGTGAACATCCAAGCACAGGACCAGAGCATCACATATTCAGGATGCCTTACTCAGGCTTGTTTTGTTTTGTTCTTTGCTGGTTTGGAGAATTGTCTTCTTGCAGCAATGGCTTATGATCGCTACGTGGCCATTTGTCACCCCTTGAAATATACAGTCATCATGAATCCCCGCCTCTGTGCTCTGCTGGTTCTACTTTCCTTACCCATTAGTACTGTGAATGCCCTCCTTCTTGTTCTGATGGTGCTGCATCTGTCCTTTTGCACAGATCTGGAAGTCCCCCTCTTCTTCTGTGAACTTGCTCAAATCATCAAACTTGCCTGTTCTGACACCCTCATCAATAACATCCTCACATATGTGGCAGCTTTCATATTTGGTGGTGTTCCTTTATCCGGAATCATTTTCTCTTATGCTCAAATAATCTCATCCGTTTTGAGGATTCCATCAGGCAAAGCAAGGTATAAAGCCTTTTCAACCTGTGGATCTCACCTAACAATTGTCTTTTTGTTCTATGGGACAGGACTGGGTGTCTACGTTAGTTCTGCAGTTACTGACTCCTCCAGAAAAACTGCTATGGCTTCCGTGATGTATTCTGTGGTCCCCCAAATAACTAACCCCTTTATTTACAGTCTGAGGAACAGAGAAATGAAAGAAGCGCTAAAGAAGTTCTTCAAAAGGGTGTCTTTGGTTCTGTGATATGTCATTTGCTGTTGACAGAGTAAGTTACAGTGACAGAAATACCAGTGTGTTAGAATGTCTGGCTCTCCCATCACCAAGTTCATCAAAATCACCACATAATGATATAAAGACTAAATACATTTTAACTTTGTATTTTGAGCAATTTACTTTTCTTGTAGCCATTTGTGATATTTCAAAAACAACTTCACTTTCTAAAGTCAGTTTTCTTTCTCACATTATGGAATAAGATCCCAAGTCATGGGTTTTAGTGTTAACTGACTATAAAAATATATTTAATAACCACATGTCAATTGATCTTATTTGTGTGGCACAGTTTAACAATTCAATACCTGTACACAAAATGCAGTGATTAGATTAGGATAATTGGTACATCCACCAACTCAAATATTTACTCTTGCTATGATCCTCCATGGTAGATTAGAGTTAGCAGCACTAATAAGATGACCAGAGGATGCTGAAAAGAATCTGTGTATACTCAGAAATGAGGGAAAGTAAAAACTCTATGCCTAGAAAAGGGACTTGAAAGTGAAACCCGTCAGAAGATAACAAGTATAAAGAGGGTTAGAGAAAAAGGCAGGGGTTGCTTCTTATTCCTGCAACCTTGAAACAATATCTAATGATTGCTGTGGTGGCATATATACTACAATTAGAACTGTATGTAATGCTCTGAGGGACAAAATGAAGCAAAGTGATGCTGTGTAAGATTGGCATTGATTTATGTGTGTTGATTGTGTTTGTTTTATATCTTTTGCAGAAACTGTTAGTTATGATAATCTTTGGGTGGCATTTTTGGGTCTTTTATGTACTCAATTATGTCACCAGCAAATAAGAATATCTTGACTTTTTCCTTTTCTTTGTGTCTATTTTATTTTTTTCCTAGAGAGTTTTGGATAAAGTTTTGATCTGTATTGAATAGTAGTGACACGAGGGGGAAATCTTTTCTTGTTCCTGAATTTAGGTGAAAGATATTATATTTTCCCTATTTAGTATAATAGTGGCATATGTTTGTCATAAGCGTCCTTGATCAGACTTGAGATATGGTCATTCTATACCCACTATTTCTTCAAGGAATTTGTGCTAGGTTTTGTCAAAGCCTTTTACCGAATCTTGTCAGATAATAATGTGGTTATTTCTCTTGCTTAGGTTTATGTGATGTATTACATTTATTAATTTATGTATGTGCAGTAATACTTGTATCTTGGGAATGAAGTCAACTTGGTCATAATGTACGATCTTGATATTTTGCAACAATGTGTTCACTAATATCTTGTTGAGGGTTTCTGAATCTGTTTTGTAGAAAGATTGGTGCTTTCCATTTTGCTTAACTATTTGTCTGATTTTGGTATCAGGGTACTGTTACCTTCAAGGATTGAATTTAACATTACTACTTCCATCTCAGTTTTATTGAAAATGCTGAGGAATATTGGCTTTATATCTTTTCTAAAGTCTTTTGGGATTTTAGTGGTGAATCAATCAAGTCCTAATCCTTTCTTATTTAGTAGTTTTTAAATTACTAACTCAATTGCATTGCCTATTAATGGACTGTTAATTGTTTTTATCATCTTGATTCAATTTTGGGAACCCCTATCTATCTAGAAATCCATCCATTTGTTCTACATTCTCAAGTTTAGTGCAGTAGAATTTTCAAAGTAAATACTTATAAAACTCTGGGTGTTAGAAGTAAGCATTGTGATTTTGCCTTAATGCATTGAATAGAATTTTGATTTTCTTTCTTTTGGTAAGTTTGGATTAGGATTGTTCAGGTAGTTTATGTATTATAATAACTATTTATTGATTAACATTTTGTATTGTAATTTTAGTCTCAATTTCATTAATTTCTGCTCCAATATTTATGATTTTCTTCTTTGGGTTTTGAGTTTGCATTATTCTTGTTTTTTATTGTTTGTTTCTTTTGTTTGCTTTTAGCTTCTTCTCTGTTTTTTCCCTTTACAATAGAAAATTCTTATTTTATAGAAGAAAAGTTAAAACAAAATTTCATAGCAAAATAATAGAATAATAAAAATAGTTAATACATTCCATAAATGTCATCTTAAAAGTAATTACTCAGAGTGCAAGATATGGACATAACATTTTTACAAGTGATATTAGCACAAATTTTAATTTTCAATGGACTGAGACACAAATAGTGCAGCTATCTTTCATTTTTCTTCTTTATCCCTTCCTTTCTTTCCCTCTGCTCTCATCCTTATTCATTTTTCCTCTTAAACAATTTATTCCAATTTCATAACATCTATTCTATACTTGTCTTGGTTACTTTTCTCTCATTGCTAGCATAAAATACCAACACCTGAAAAGAAGGGAAAAAAGTTTTATTTAGATTACAATTTTTGGTGGTTTCAGCATATAATCAGCTGATTCCAAGGCAGGATGGTATGACACTAGGTCAACATTTCATGGCAGCTGCAGAGCAAACTCAGCCAGAGCAAAAGGGGACAAGTTAAATATCTTTTCTTCCTTTTTATATTATACAAAGGCCACCCCTTCCCCCAGGATCGTAGTAGTTCTACAAAGACTTTGTGCCCCCTTGTTGCACAGGATGAGGATATTTACAATGTAAGGATACTGGTTTTCTGCTGAGTCTCTTAGTTAAACTTCAAAACTTCTCAAGTTGACACAATGAATCAATCACAACAGTCCATCCCTTTTCAACTTGGCACCCAGACATATTTCTTTAAACCAGTATCCAGATGCAGAGGCATACTTGTTCTTAACATTTTCAACTTGAACTTTATAACACAGATTAACAAATCCTTAAGAACATGAATTGTGTCTATGTACATTTAAAATCATAATATTTTATCATTAGCCACCAAAGACTCATGCACATCCCTTTATGCAAAAAGCAGTTAGTTCATCTTCAAGAGTTGCCAAAGTCCTAAATTTTAGCATTGCTGAAGAATTTAAGTCCCAAATCTGTGAGATGTAAGGCAAAGCTTAACTGTCAGCCTCTGTACAAATAAAACAAAGTTAAACACTTCAAATATGCAATGGTACAAGATAAACATTTCCATTTAAAAAGATACAAACAGGGGGATACAAAATATGGGATGAAAACAAGTCCAAAATCCAGCAAGGAAAATGTTAAGCCCTATAGTTACACGTCCATTGTGAGTTCCAAAGGGCTTATGTGGTTCCACCCTTATAGCACTCTGGTGTTACAGATTTCATGGCTTTTTCCTTAGGCTGGCTTTCCTTCCTCCTTGCAGTGTGCCTTAGATGATCCATGTTCCTAACTGCTGAGGTCTCCACTGCATCTTTGGCTTCATACTCACATCTTCACATCAGGGTCACAATGTCTGGCTTCCCTGGCCTTCTGAAATTTGAATGGAAGCCTTTTACCCTCAGAATTTGTGCATTCTGTATGAACCTAAAATCAGTGCTGTGTTGATAATGCTGAAGTCTGCTTCTAGCTGGAGTAGTAGCCAGGCTTTCTGCTCTCTTGACTGTAGGGGTAAAGTGCCTGGATGACTGAGCACTCTGAATCTGAATCTTAGGAAAAGATCCCATATGCTGCTACCATTCAGGAACCTGGTGCAACTGCTGCCACTACCATTCTGGAACATGTGATGTGAGGCTGTCTTCTCCAAGCAATGACTTTCACATTGGCAGTTTTGAGGTTACAAAGCATAGAGACCTACTCTCTACTCCCATGATGCCCTAGGATATCTTTTCTATTTTTTTCTCAGCAATCAAGATCTCAGCTCTATCTTTGCAGTTCACAGCTTTATGGCCAAACTTACAATGTTTTAAATCATCCTGATGGGCTCTTTTCTATTGATTCATATCTTGAATCTGGATAAAACGCCCAACAGTAATCATGCCACCAACTCAACATTTGATTGCTTTGAAATTTCTTTTATCAGATTAGTTAACCTACTCCTATTAATCTCCATCTCAGGCAAAGTCTCAAGACATAAACAAAATGCAGATTTTCTGCCAAGCCATGAAACACATCCTGTGGAATCCAACAACCAATGCAATCCTTCTCTGTAGCAGAAAACTCTCTAGCCTGATCTCTACTCACAGGATTTCTATCAGCCTTCTAATCTTCTGACACCTGATCAGAATCACCGATGTAGAAAAGCCTAAGGTGTTCAATCTCTATACATTCAAGTGACATCTCTGAACCTTTTCAAACTTTTCCCACAAGCCATTTTCAAAGGCTCTTGGACCACTAGATAGTTGCAGCAATAGCTCCACTCCTGTTATCCAATTCTGTCTTGATTACTTTTCTTTGGTGGCTAGAACAAAATAAATGGCACCTAAAATGAAAGAAGGAATGGTTTATTTAGCTTAGTGGTATTTATGGGTTTTAGTCCACATTGAGCTAGCTCCAAGGCAGGGTGTCATGGCACTGGGGCAACATTTCAAGGCAGCAGCAAGCAAAAGTAACCAGAGTGAAAGGAGGCAAGGTGAAGCCTCTTTTCCTCCTTTTTATATTATACAAAGGCCATCCCTCTCCTCTGGGAAGTTGTAGCACTCATAAAATCTCCACACCCAGTGGTCAGGACCTGCCCAGCTTCCAGCCACACTAGATTAGGCTTGGGAGGGTTTATGACCTGACTAGATTACACCCAGGCACCTTCTTCAATTAAGGGAGTTGAGGGCACATGAAGTGAGTTCCGGTGCATTGGTCATAGCCTGGGGATAGGTTAGAACCTTCATCCACAGTGGTTAGGTACCCACCCAGCTTCCTGGAACTTGGGAGGTGGCAAATGAGGTCCTGTGTGCCTTAACTGCACCACACTCAGCAACCTCCATTCAGTCCCAGGAGCCCAGGGCACAGAAGACAATTTCCAGCATGCCGAGGGGAAGCCTTGGAACATCACTTGAAACACAGAAATATAGGACAGTAACAAAATGAAAGATCAAAACACAATCTCAAACCTCCAGCCAATCCCAAGAAAGCCTAGGAGCCATGTACATAGAAGAAAATATATGCCATACACCTGAAATAAACAAGTAATTCTGAGAAG